AGCTCAGTGGGATGAGCATGAGACTCTTAAACTCAGGGTCATGGTATTCAAGCCCCATGTTGGGCAAAAAGATTCTTGCATTTCAGGGGGTTGGACTAGATGACCCTCGTAGACCCATTCCAACTCTACAGTTCTATGATTTTGTTTTAACTTCATGGTGTGTTTGCTATCCTGAGCTCTGTTGGGATAGAAATTGTAAGTAATAATAACGTCCTCAAGATGCTTCACATACTTTATTGCAGAAATCTTTACAACAGTGCTTTTAAATAAGCTATGTGAAGCAATCTTATACTGAGTTAGATCATAGGTCTGCACAGCTCATAATGGCCTACTGCTTTTGGAAGCAGCTTTGTAGGGTGTCAGGGGTGTGTTTCTCCCAGTCATGCTGCACAATATTTTAATTATTGGTGATGCTCAACACTTAATAAACCTGGGATTTCTGTTTGCAAAGCAGGTATTCAACCACTGCACAATGGCAGAATGATTTAGGCACACTCATATTTCTCTTTTCCAAGAATTGTAACTGCATGGTACACAATGTGCCGTTGTTGTGGTTGCAGGAAACAAAAGAAATATGTATTCTATCAAACTACTTCAAAGAAAAACTTCAGTGCATGACGTTGTGCCAGTCGAGTGTTATGCTAAGTTGCCTTCTGACATTTTAAAGGCCATTATTTGAAGGCCCTTTCTTAATTTAATGAATCAGAAGGATATCTAGTTCTCTACAGTTCTCAGCTGGAAAAGACTCCTTAAAGAGCTTTAATTACCTGGCACAAAAGCTAAGACACAATCTGGGACCACTTGCTGGCTTCTATTGTTAGTTTCTGGTTTGGAAGAATCCTCCCTTCAGCAGTAACAGTTTCTTGTTTGGAATAAAATTCTTTCATGAGACAGCTAAGTGGTGGTTTCATTAGAAAGATCAAGCATGATGTCACTAACATTCATGAAGGTCTTTCAAATACTAAAATTATTCTGATTGTTGTTTTCCATACGGATCTGAATAAAACATGGCACAACCAGGATAGATTATGATCACTGGGTGAAAATAAAAATCCAGAATGGCAAATGATACTGTTTTGATATGTAATCAGGGGGCATAGTTGTGTTTTACACATATTGCAGTGATTTTTTAAGCAGGAAGAGCAAATGCAAATTAGCTGTCTGGGGTAACAGCACAGTGGGAGCACTTGGGAGCCAAATGCAGTAGCAGAAATTAGATTCCTTCTGCAAGATACTGAGGTTTTAGATTTGATATGCTTAGCAGTCATGAAATAAGAGGCGAGGTCCTGGTTAACTGGTGACCCTCAGTAACTGGTTAAATATCAGAAAGCAGGACTATACGGACTGTTCTCTCAATGGAGGGATGTGGAAGGTAGAATTCCATGTGAATTGGCACTGGAAAACTGTGGGGAAATGCTGTTAAAACAGAATAACTATAGAATTGTATATTTGGAAGGGAGCCTAAAGGTCATCCAGGCTAACCCTCTGTAATGGAAGAATCACAGCTAAAGAATCCCTGGCAGATGGGCATCCAAATTCTGCTTTAAAACCACCAATGAAGGAGTCCACCACCTTCTGAGATCGTCCGTTCCACGGCTGAACAGGTGTCAGGTGTTATTCCTGCATACAGAAGCAGGTAGAACAATTATTTCTGAAGTGGGACCATCATGACTTCTGCAAGAGTACTGCAAGTCCTGTCTCACTAACCTATTAGAATTGTTTGAGAGTGTCAACAAGCATAGAAGTGATCTGATTGACACAGTGCATTTTCAAAAAGCTTTTGACAACATACTTCTCCAAAGATTCCTGAGTAAGCATAGCAGGCATGAAAGAAGAGGTGAGGTCCTTGTGTGGATCAGGAACTGGCTAAGTGACAGGACGCAGAGAGTAGGAATAAGTGGACTGTTTTCCGGATGGAGAGATGTAGAAAGTGGAACCAAGGATCAGTATTGGGACCTACCTGTGCTTTTTAACTAGTTCATAAACTGTCTAGACTTAATAACAATGATGAAAGATTAAAAAAATAATAATAATGAAAGATGTTCCAGTAGCACCTTAAAGACCAACTAAGTATAAGCTTTCTAGGTATGAGCTTTCATACACACTTCTTCAGATACTCTAGACTTAGTGAGCAGTGAAGGAGCCATGTTTGCTGATGAGATGAAGTTGTTCAGGGTCTTTAAAACAAAAAAGGACCTCTCCGAACTGAGTGAATGGGCAGTAAAGTGGCAAATGCAATTCAACATAAACAAGCATAAAGTGATGAACATTAGGGCAAAAGATTGCAATTTGACATATGCTACCCAAGGTGCTGGGTAGCCCTGCTCATCTGTCAAAATGGCCCATATTGGCTGGGGGGAGGGAGGGATACAACCCACTATTCAGATCGAATTTCCTACCCCAGCATAATCAGCTTCATGTGATAACTTCACATAATAAAGCAAAAAGTTGTATTTGACTCTGCATATATCTTGCTTGTAAGCTAAACAAAGGTTTGTATTAGATTTATAGCTCTTATTTACCTCTAGAAGCAGTAGAATTAAAAGCCTTTCGAAATCCTTTGTAAAATGTAATTTTAACAGCCCAATCCTGTGCAAAGTTAGGCACCGATAAGTGAGTTTATTAGGTGTGCCTTGACTCTGCAATGGGTTGTGATATAGAACTGTTCTAAATGCTACTCACATTGTATATGATCACATCTTCACATATCTTTCAAAGCAGCGTTTTAAAATCCCATATTGTCATCTTTGGTGGGTTGGTTTTTTTTAGCATTTTATAATAGTACAACAATTGTAAGGTAATTTGCATTTAGATGGTTTTTTTCTGTAAGGTTAGCATGCCATTAGATGCACACATTTCTTAGTCTTCCTTTACAATGACGTTTTTAAAGCTACATCTGATAGAACACCCGCCCACTCACCCCCAATTCCTTTGTGTCTTTTAAAACAATCAGTAACAAGATAAAAAGCACAATAGTCCATTTACAGATAAATTTTAAATAATAAATTATGGCTAGGGAATTTGCCACTTATGAATCTGCTCTATACTCAGACAGGCAAATTGGCTTCCTCTTGCTGGGTATTGTCAGTCTACATTGACTTGAAGTTTCTCTCCCTGATCTCAAGTAGAGATCTTTAACTAGAGATGATGAGGGTGAACCTAAGTTATTCTATCCACAAAGCTCTACTATTGTTCTAAGACAGGCGCCCCCAAACTCGGCTGTCCAGATGTTTTGGGACTACAATTCCCATCATCTCTGACCACTGGTCCTGTTAGCTAGGGATGATGGGAGTTGTAGTCCCAAAACATCTGGAGGGCTTAGTTTGGGGATGCCTGTGCTAAGACCTCTCTCTACTTGACTAGCTCATATGATAAAATAAGTTTGTTTGCTTCTTAAAACTGTAGCCAGATTTCAGTAGAATAACTTTCAGTACCAGGAAAGCTTTATCCCAGCTTTGGCAGTTACGTCAACTGCACCCCTATCTGGAGAGGGCTGACCTTGCCACAGTGGCCGATGCTCTCATCATGTGCAGACTACACCACTGCAACACAGTCTCTTTGGGGTGGCCTTGAAAGAAGATCTAGAAAGGTTAGCCGGTTCACAATACGGTTCACAATATAAATCCTGTTGGATTTATATATCAGCTGCACTACTTACCAGTGCCTTTCTAGGACCACTGGTTTTGACCCTTAAAACTGGGGTGGAGAACCTCTCGCCCACTTTAAAATGCATAAGCCATAAAGCAAATCATGAGCTCTCAAAATAAAATAATGCATCTAGTGTTTGCTGTTAGACAAGATGACACGTGATCGTTTCCATGTAGTGTACTGACTGAGATGTGATCCACTCAATTTTATATTCATTGTTTGATAAAGCTGTTATATAATAAAATTATGTAACTATATCTCTGTACACTCTCACACACATATAGCATGCCTATTTTCTTCTGTGGTGTTGCAACAAAGCTGTTGGCTTTAAAGGGGTGCAACAATATACATATTCTGCCCAGGAGTGAACCCACAGTTTAGAAAACATCATGACACCAACCTGCTGCTCTATATTGTTACAAAGGTGAGTGCTGCACCCCATAGTTGCCTTTGACTGGACTAAACCATCCAAGGGTCCTTTACGCTTTACAAAGGTTGGACGCCACCCCCAATCTCTGCTGAGCTGTGTCAAGATTTCAGGAGGTTTCAGAATGTCTTATACTTTTTTCAGACATTTTGTGCATTCTCCACTGCAGTCAACTTGGACAGACCCCTCTAGTCCCATTTTCACTTTTTCTTCTCATGATGGGTAAACTTTGCATCTGTTTAAGAAACCGTATGTTCTGAGAGTACTGGAAGACTGCTCCCTGCCTTGCAGGCCTTTTCCCACCAAGTCCCTGACGGACTCCACTACAAAACCTAAAGCTGCTGAACAGGCTCTTGGGCTGGGGCGTTGTTTGGGTTGTTTTCTTTAGGTTGTTGTTTTTTGTTCAGCTCTTGCTGTTGTTGCAATTAATGTTTAGTATCTTTATTCTGGATTTTACCATTTATGTGGAAATTGTTCAGTTTGGTCATGTACTTTCATGTTTTGTTTATGACTTCTTTTGTTATATTTGTGTTGTAAGCCGCCTTGAGAACAGTTTGAACTATGGAAAGACCGCATACAAATAAAATGATTGATTGATTAGAACTGTTACATTGTAACCGGGAAGTAAAACACACTAAAGTTGGTGGAACTTACTTCCGAGTAAGCGATTCTCCCGACCCGCTATTAGAATCTGCCCAGTCGCTCCCACTCGCCCATCGAACAGGCTGCCAACACGACGGCGCATGCGCGCGACGAATCCTCCCGCTAACTCCAATATCATAAAGGAGATCGCTTACCCTAGCGGCCTTTTTTGAACAGGCGCGACGTCGGGCCTGCAATGCGCACGCGCAAGCGGAGAAGGCGGGAGAGGAAGCCCCGCCGTCGCCGCCTCTGCGCTTGCGCGCTTAAGTGAGCTTCCGGGGAAAGGAGGCGGGAGGTCGCGTGCGCGCCGCCTTCCCCGCGCGTGCGTAGTAGCCGGCAACCTGTCAGCGCCCGGCCCGTGGCGCCCGTTTGCCGTTGCTGTGGCAGCCGAGGGGCCCTGCGGGAGGCCCTGGCTGCGAGGCCTGCCGGAGGGACGGAGCCTTCCGGGAACACGAGCGGCAGCTCGGCCGCTTTCTCCTCGTCGTCGCCTTCCCCCTCCCCGCCGCAGCCGCTCACGCTGCTGGTGATGCAGCCCTGCGGCGGGGACGGGGAGGCGGTGGGCGCCTTGCTGCAGCCCCAGGTGGTGCGGCAGCCGCAGCCGCCGTCGCGGGGGGCCTCGGAGGCGCCCTCGGGCCTCATGGTCTTCTACGAGCTGGGCCCGGCGGCGGGGGGCGACGCCGACGGCGAGGGGGGCGGAGGCGACAGCGCCGGCAGCCCCGGCGGAGGCCTGGAGGATCTGGACGACGACGAGGAGGGCGGCGCCCAGTCGGGAGGAGGAGGAGGCGGCGGCTGCAAGAGCTGCACCTACAAAGGCTGCAGCGAGACCACCACGCAAGTGGCCAAGCAGCGCAAGCCCTGGATGTGCAAGAGGCACCGCAACAAGATGTACAAGGACAAGTACAAGCGCAAGAAGAGCGACCAGGCCTTGGGGGGCGCTGGAAGTGGCGGAGGCGGAGCAGGAGGAGGCGCCCCTTGCTCTGCCACAGCTGCTGCTGCCGCCGCCGCCGCGCAGACTGGAGCTGGGATCTCTCCCGGAGGCAGCGCGAGAATTGAGGTGAGGAGAGGGGCACGGGGAAACCGCTGAGAAGAGCTCATTTCTGGAGCTGGGATCCTGGGAATCAGAGAATCGCAGAGTAGGAAGGGACCCCCAAAGATCCTCTAGTCCAACCCCCTTCAAGGCAGGACTCCCAGCTCAAGTATCCATCCGACCTCCGCTTAAAAGCCTCCAAGGAAGGAGAGCCCGCAGCCTCCCGAGGGAGACCGTTTCGCCCCCTTCACTGTCGGAAAGTTTCCCCTGATGTTTTGTCAGAATCTCCTTTCCTGTAACTTGAAGCCATTGGTTTGAGTGCTCCAGAGCAAGGACAAAACAAGCTTGTTCCCTCTTCCTCCTCGCACCTACACGCAGGCAGTTTTCTGTCGTGAGGTGTGTAAAGCAGGAAAATGAGTTCTTTCCCTTTTTACAGCAGTGTAGCTGTAGTACCATCACTGGCCCTTGAACATGAGCAACCAACTCAGGGATGGGAACCTGTGGCCTTCTAGATGCGGCAGGACCATGGCTAGAATGATCATTTCTGACCCCAGCTAGCTGGCTGCCTGTGATGGCAGGGGGAGGCCATGAGCACCTGGGGGACCACAGGTTCCTCACCCCTGTTCTAAGTAGGTATATTTTGAGGTGCTGAAATAACTTCAGAATGCCGTTTTTGTGGTTGCATTTTTTATATATATACCATCTCCATGACAACATTGCTGCACTGGTGCGATGCCCACAGGTTAGCTTGCACATAGTTTTGTTTGTTTATTTGTTTAAACATTTATGTGTCACTTAATACCACATATCAGAGTAGCTTAAAAAACCATACTACATATTTAAAACATAAATTAAAATATTAGAGTACATCACTCAGGGGGTGTTGTTGTTATATATTTTGTGTTTTTATACTACAAACCGCCCTGTGATCTTTGGATGTAGGGCAATATAGAAGTTTAATTAACAACAACAACAATATTAATGGTGCAAAGACCTCCTGAACAACAACAGCAACAACATTATTAATGGTGCAAAGTCCCCCTGAAATAAAACGGTTGCTAACTTGGACCCTGAAATTTAGCAGGGGCAGTGCCTCCCTGATTTCTAATGGGAATGAGTTCCATCGTTTGGGGACTATTATAACACTGAAAACATGTCTCCTCATTGACAAGTGTCCTGATTTTTTAGTTTTTCAGAGTCTGACCTACACATTACAGCTAGCTTGGAACTGGTGTGAAACCAATCTGTCATGCCTTCCATGAAACAAAGTGGGGAGTTTTTAAAGGCGCCTAGGGCTTGCTGATCAAAAGGTCGGCGGTTCGAATCCCCGCGGCGGGGTGCGCCCGTTGTTCGGTCCCAGCCTGCCAACCTAGCAGTTCGAAAGCACCCCCGGGTGCAAGTAGATAAATAGGGACCGCTTACTAGCGGGAAGGTAAACGGCGTTCCGTGTGCGGCTCTGGCTCGCCAGAGCAGCGATGTCACCCTGGCCACGTGACCCGGAAGTGTCTTCGGACAGCGCTGGCCCCCGGCCTCTTGAGTGAGATGGGCGCACAACCCCAGAGTCTGTCAAGACTGGCCCGTACGGGCAGGGGTACCTTTACCTTTACATTTTTGTCACAGATCTCTGTTAGAGCTCTTTACCTTTGTCACAGAATTAATTATTTGGCAATCGGAAGCCACGCCAGCATCGCCACCTGCCCAGAGCCGTCTGCAGCTTTGGATTGGCTGCTGGAGCTTTGCAGCCAATCTGAAGCTGCGCCAGCATCACCGCCCACCTAGAAGCCATGCCAGTGTCGTGGAAGTCAGTCCCCGTGCGGCGAGGCGCCCACAGCGCACGGGGACTGACCGAGCAGGCAGCAGGGTCCACGGGCTGGATTTACGAGCCTGGGGGGCCACATCCAGCCCCTGGACTGTAGTTTGCCGACCCCTGGTATAATGTAAATCTGTCTTTAGTTACCTTTGCCAAGAAACATTATTAATCATCTGTGTGTCAGTGTCCTAATAATGGCTGAGAGTTGTATCCAATTGCCACTCAGTTGTTTCCATCAATAGGATAGGGAGGGAAGCAATTTCTAGCTATTCCCACTTCCCCAGTAGTCAGCACTAAATTGCACTGTGTTCATAATTTTTCAGGAAAAGTCATTGAGAAGTCTTGTATTGAAACTTCCCATTAGTGCTTTCTAGTGAGAATAAGTACATTTCCCCCCTCTGTTTTTTGTGTGGTCAGGATTGCACTGAAAGTTCAGTTTCCATGTCAAAGCAAAGAACAGGAAACATTGGTGATCGGCCAGCAAAACCTACACTTTTGGAACAAGTGTTGAACCACAAAAGACTGGTAAGTGCTTCTGGCCTTTGAAATAGAAAGTGTCCAGAGGATTCCTGCATCATGATGATGATATTTAAAAAGTCAGTTCATATGTTGAACATAAGTGATCATGTTTTCTCTTGGCACATCCTCTGTACCACTTTTTTAGGCCCTACATGCAGAACTTAAATCCAGCTCATGAGAATGCTGAATGCATCCAATGAAGAGCAGAGGGCCTTATCTTTTGGTGCCTGGTTAGGTGTGTTGCATGCTCACCACCTCTATTATGCTGGGAGGTGGGAGGTGTATTTTGGCGCTAAGAAATCCTTGCATACCTTGTACTCGGTGTGTGGAAGGGGAAGATTGCAGACATTGTCTAATTTGGTGTCTTTTGTCTCTTTTTAGTCCCTTCTGAGAAGTCCAGAAGTTGTACATTTTCTCCAGAAACGACAGCAGCTACTAAGTCAACAAGCATTGGAGCAAAGGCAGCAACAGTTTCCAGGAGCACCAGTGTGAGGATAGGAATGTAGTTCAAATACCCTCAGCTCAGTTTCATGTTGGAATGGTGGATGAAGGAAAGAAGTTGACTAACAGAGGCCTACAAGCTGCTCTAGCTGTTTTATGCTGTGGTTTTATTTTCTATTGGACAAGTAAGAAAACCTATTTGGTTTCCCCCCCAGAATTTATTTATTTGTAATTGTTTTTGTTAGCTTTGATACATCTTCTCTCCGTCCACTGAAGCTTTCTGTTAATATTTTGGAAGCCAAGTTTTAGTGTTCTGGGAGAGAGAAATTAATAGATCAAATAAAAACCAATTTAATTATTTTAATGTTTTACTATGTGAAAATTTTTTATATCTTGCATAAAGTTATTCTTCGATGACAGTCATTGAAAAAGCAATACTTACTTTCTATGGAAGTTTTAAATTGTAAACTTTGAGCCAATCTAGTAGCCTCTGTTGCTCAGGGATGTAGGAGAGGGGAATGCTGGGCTTACAGCTTTGTGAGGGAAGTTCAGCAAGATTTGGCCCACCATTCTAACACTGGTGTGGCATTTGACACTCTGGCCAATCTAGTCAATCAGTTTCTATATTGCATTATAAAATAATGTATACTCGGTTGGTATTAATTTCATGAGCATTTTTGTAAACATGATTTAAGTATTAGTGTGAGTATTGCAGTATATTACTGACATGATTCATAAAGAGGCATCCATTTGAGCTTATTTATATTAATTTTATATTTTTAATGACTTGTTTACTAAAGAACACAAATTGTTCATACAAGGATACATTAAGGTATCAGTTTTGTATCTTTGTAATTTTCAGGCTATTTTTGAACGTGTTCAAGGATTTTTTGAAACTTTTTGAAAAATGTCATTTAAGTTAACTTTTGTACATCAGATTTTTAAAGCATTTAAAAACTGTACATATTGTATATAATTGGTGTCCTGTTCTTTCATAGCAATTTCCTGACTAGTTATTGATAAGCTGAAGTAAATGTGTATGTTTTCTAGGCTACTGTTTTTAGAGAAAGAACTCTAAGCTGTGTTGAGTGATTTAAAAGATATGTCGCTTGTCTGTTCTTTCATTTGCAAATTAAATGTTTTCACCTTGACTTGCAGTTTTCAATTCTGCATGAAGGAAATTAACTGTTGTTTACAGTAACCTTACTTGTCAAATTTATTATATCATGGGGCACATAATTGAGTCTAGTGCAGTAAAATAGGAATGAAATATTCCAGCATTTTGCTAAGAGTGCTAATCTTAGCTCGTCAAAAGTGGCATTATCTACCTTGCAGTTGTATCGTACAGATGTTTTGGGACTACAACTCCCATCATCCCTAGCTAACAGGACCAGTGGTCAGGGATGATGGGAATTGTAGTCCCAAAACACCTGGAGGGCCGAGCTTGCCTATGCCTGATATAACCCATTGTACTGAGTGAGGATTTCTGTCCACATGCCCCTTGCAATCTCCTACAGTTAGTGCAAGGTGTCGTAACAGAAGCTACTTTGGAGCTAACAAAGCAAAGAAGCTTTAGGAAAGACAACATTTATTAGGAGAATATCTTAGATCAGATGTGCACGTAAAAAGGGTCCTTGGTCTGGAAGCAGTCAAATAGATGGAAATATATACCTCAGAGTTCAGTTGAAAATTGTAATACAGATGTGAGAGGATCATTATGCAATTATCATATTTGAAGTGGTGCTAGGTATACAGAGTTGACAAGATTAAAATGAACCTTTCTTTTGAACATACAATTGAATACTTCTTACCTATAGTGTACAGTGATGTGCCCTGCCCTAGAGAAGTATATGCACTCCAAACATGCAATAGTTCATTTGTACAGACACACCTCTGTTAACTGCAAAGATGGAAGCAAATGTCCTATACATAAGAAATTGATGGGCAAACCCTTGTGTGCATGGAAGCTATGGGTGCATTCAGTGCCTGCTGAAAACATTCTTGTTTAGACAAGCCCACCCAGATACTTAGACAGTTGAGGCAATTATGTTTTAGTGTGTTGGCTTTTGTATGTTTTGTAGAAGGATTGTATTTTTTTCTTGATTTTCTTGTATTTTTTTGTAAGCTGCTTTGAGGTTTCTTACAAATGGTGTCTAAATTTGGGGGGGGGGTATAACCAGTGCTAAAAATCATGCTGGAAGAGGCAACGGCTGTCAATGTAGCTAATCTATATGGATATAGAAGCAATGTAAATCTCACTACAAATTAGGTTTGTACGGATTGGTTTCCAATAATATGACTACTGCCAACCATCATTTTGGTAGTATGGAGAGCAAACTGGCCAGGTCCCCCCCCCCCCCCGAATTGGTGCCATGTGCAGCTATTTTTCATTCAAAAAAAATTTTTTTAAGCCTCTTTAATAAATTCAGCCATAATGCAGTTCAAGTAGCTTTTGTTATATTAATTCTTTTGAGAAATCTGAGTTGTTCCAGCTTCATGTGTTGTACTTGCTTTTTGACATGTTCACCCTTAAGTGACAGGTGCATATTTTTGGTTTGTATGTAGTAATGTTAATGGGAAATAAAAGAGCACATCACATTCAAACTTGTAAAATGATTAGTAGGTATGAAAATGAATATGAATTCTAAAGCTATTTTGCTCATTTATGCTGGACACACAAGAATTGGGCTGTTTTTAATGTTGTTGAGTGCCACCTTATTGCCACTTGAAGCAGCTGTTTATCAGAATTTAAACAGATCGTTTGAACTATCAAGAAACCTATTTACGCTTGTCATGTAAATTTGAAAATTAAGAGTTTGAATTTGTATACAAGTTTTGATGAGGCTCTTGAAGCAGATATAGTAATGTCATTATAAAGACTTCATGCACCTCAGAATGAAATTTTATAGCACTACAAACAAGATAAGGATTAAACCGATCTTTCACTAGGGCCTTTGAGTGGAAAAGTGTACTTTGTGTTTGGTATAAGGAAGAACTTACCTGTTACTTTGCCTACATGAATGTCATAAATTGTGTTCTATACTGTCCTAGAGCAAAATTACATGTGGATTAAGCAAATTTGCGGATGGTGGTGTTAGTGTGTCAGCTCTGAAAGATGGAGAGGCCAGTTTGGCCTTAGGAACCCTCTGAACAACAGTGATAAGGTATAAGCAAATTGTCATTATAGTTCTTTGTATTTTCTCTTTAATGGCACCCTTCTGCTTCTGTAGCTACATTTTATTTTTGTTGTTCTGAGTTGCTCCTACTCTAATTCTGCTGTTGACCCATTTATTGGTATGTTACTGCTTTTCAAATGGAATAAACTTCTGTCTAAAACTTTGTCAATTCTAGACATGAAAATAAAGCTGCTGCACTTATTTATAGAGTAACTTTATTAACAGTAAAGACAAAATTTTATCACTGGTACAGCAGGGCTATTCTAGCCAATAAAATTAAGTTGTTCATGACAGCATGTCAAATTTATTCACTGGCCAGCCTTTAAACAAGAAGCTATAGGAAACAAACATCTGCCTTTTTACTCAATTAGTCTAACTGCCCACAGTGACAGTAGAGCTTTTCAGTGCCCGTTTACAGATTTGAGAGCGGCTTTGAATTCTGGGGTTAAACAATGTTTGACTAACACTGCAATTGTGTAACACTCAACAGTAAGCCCTACTGAATTCCATAGGGCTTATCTCTAGGTAAGTGTAAAGGACTGTGTCTGGGCATAGCAGCTGCCATATCAGTTTCCCTGCCATTCTTCTGTGGGTAAGGCAGAAAGTAGAGACATTTTTTCTTCTTTCCATTTTAGTCAAAGTGAGGGTGTAGCATCCCTCCGTTTGTTACGTTTGTTTGGGAAACAAAGATCTGGGCACATCTTTATGGCTGCCCCTAACATAACCTGTTTCCCCCTACTCTATTGGCAGAACATTTTGTGCTGGTGGAACTTTGCATTGGTATATTAGGGGACTTCTTCCAGCATTTCATTTTGCAGAGGTATGTCTGTTCCTGCAGGTGGAGCAGTACTTTCTCTGCTTCCCAAGGCCCTAAGCCAGCTTTCAAAGAGGTTGGGATTACTCCCTTAAAACTCCTGAGGCAAAGTTACTAGGAGCACTATAGTCAACATTGTAGAGCTGTCTGCTGCAACCTGTCTGCAAGAACTAGAACATTTCTTGTAGCAGCTTTTGATCTGGCTGTTATAGTGATGGAGGACGCTGCAGAAAGAAACCAATCAGAGAGAACAATTTATATTGCATTGTTTCCCAGCTGCTATTTCACATTCAACTTGGCTATGACTATTGGGTGTCAAAAATGAAACCTTTGCAAAGCCACATGCATAGGTAGGTGAGTTTATGTCTGGGGTGTTAGTATGCTTTAATTTACCCAAAATGTGAATTGTGGTTTCTTCCTGCTTCTCTAGATTAAATATCAGACATAGTAGTATGTACTCGGACTCATAATTATCATGTATACTTGAGTACATCTACTTAAACCTTCCGAAATAGTTACAAATGCATAGGTCATATCCTGAATGAAGATAAGCTCTCTGGCAATTATCTATCAGTATATATTTGTTTACTAATCAAAGGATACTGCGGCAGGAATGAAATTCTGCTACAAGGAAGATGGATTTGTTACAGATAGCTGTCATATGTAACTGATTAATTTATTTACACCTTATTTGTGATTGTTTTACTCTCAGTCAAGAGACAAAATCGGGGAAACAATGAAATGTTCTGCACGTTAAAAATATTCACAAATAACAGTCTAGATTCAAGTTATAGTAAGGGAAGCACCACCAAATCCACAAGACAGATTAATATCCAGCCTTTTGTTTTTAAACCAATACTCCACAGGGTAATGTCTGAAGGAGAAATAATGGTCTCTTTATATTTGGGTAGCTATTAACATTACAAACCACAGCTGCAGCTGTACCTCATAGAATAGAATCATAGAATCATAGAGTTGGAATAGACCACAAGGGCCATCGAGTCCAACCCCCTGCCAAGCAGGAAACACCATCAGAGCACTCCTGACATATGGTTGTCATTGGGCCCATTAAACACTGGCTGCTGTTGTTAGTGCTCTCACCCTATGCACTTGCTATATTTTAGGGTCACTAATAGGCAGAGAATGCCTGACTGGGTGGAAGCTCACCTAGTCCCTATTTCCAGAAGAGTGACGTCCTTTCCAAAAGAGAATGTCCTTTCCCCTCCTTTAATGCTATGGGCATAAGCTACAGAAGTGTCTCTGTTTTATTGTAGGCCTGATACCATGCTTAGCAAAGTTATTTCCCCCCCCCCTTAGTATTTTGGACAACTTAAGTCAAAGTCTTCAAGGATGAGAGGGCTATTTGTTCTTTGGCTTGTGTTTGTACAGTGTCTCTTCAGGGGACTGAATTGACCAACAATTTAGTGCATCCAGTATTCTGGGTCACCTACTGGAGGCACCAGCCTTTTCTGGCTCCTCACCCAAATGTATAGCATATGGAAAATGTGATCTGCATAACCCTGAGATATTCATGTAAAAACACATTGATTCCTGGACCATCCGCGGGCCGGATTTAGAGGCCGATTGGGCTGGATCCGGCCCCGGGCCTTAGTTTGCCTACCCATGGTGAAAGTATTGATTACTAAGAGGGATGCTTCCTTTTTTGAAGAAGAAGATTTGATATCCCGCCTTATCACTACCCAAAGGAGTCCTAAGGCGGCTAACATTCTCCTTTCCCTTCCTCCCCCACAACAAACACTCTGTGAGGTGAGTGGGGCTGAGAGACTTCAGAGACGTGTGACTAGCCCAAGGTCACCCAGCAGCTGGAGGGATGCTTTCTCTATTTAGATGCATGGCTGTTTACACACTCAGCCAGCCTAAGGAATCTCCCAGAAAAGTCAGGCACACACAGCATTTAATAAATTACAAAACAAGAATTATACAAATACACATTATGAGCAACGTTTCTCAATTTCCTACATTCTCAAAGCAATTTTGCTTGCCATCTTAGATGTATGGGTTTAGTACTGAATAATTCAATATAGGATTTTAATGCCCATCTACCCAAACACTACTGTTATGCATATTTCACAATGTTTCAAATGAAGTCGATGAAAATTGTCAAATTGCATAAAATTACATATTCTTGAAAATTAGCGTTGCACAAGAAAAAAATAAAACCTCTATTCGGTAAGTTAGGAACATTTATGTAGTAACATTTTCTACATGTCCACTTGGAAGGGTCATGTAGTTAATTGGGATTGCCTTCCAGCTGTGTATAAAACTGCAGCCTTAATAAGCTTTTCTGATATTAATTACAACCTTGACTAAGTCAGGAAGCTTTATTAGACTGAGCTTACTATGCTTAGTAAGTTCCATGCTTAAGACTGCAGTTTTATTTGTATATATCTGAGTAAGCACCACTGAATTTAGTGGGATTTAGTTCGGAGTATCCAAATATGGGATCCGACTGTAAAATTCGCATAAACCAGAGGAAATAATCTATATAGTGTGATGATTGCAGTCCAATGTGCATCTTTTAATGTCTACATTTGTGACTTTGGGAGGAAGACTTAAGAAGCATCTCTTAAGGTTTTCACTATGAGCTTGTTCCCACAATTGACTTGGACGACTGGCTTAGGCAAAATGAAGTACTGTTTCCACAGATAGTTAACTTACAGCATTTGCTGCCACACCACGAGGGGATGGGCTGTAGAAATGGTTTTTTAAAATGCTTTGGATAGGGTGATCAACAACTATTAGCCACGGGGCACTCAGTGTAGGACTCTGAGCCAAAAGGCCAGAGCTCCACTCATCAAAATTAGCAGAAAGTGCAACACAAGGCTAGTTGACCACATTTTGAAGAGACCCTCTGGTAAGACCACTTTAAGTAACATGCATGGCTAGCTTTTTTAAAAAAAAGCCCACTCAAGGAGACCATTCCCCAGAGTCCCAAACTGCCAACTGTACTGTTGAATGGAAGCAGTATGGTTAAAGGCAGTTTGTCTCGGAACACCAACAAATGACAGGAAGACTGCCTTCATGTCCTTTGAGGACATCCTGCCGGATCACGGTTGGAAACAAGATACTGGACTAGATATTAGACTTTTGGCTCGATGCAACAGAACTCCTTGCAGTTAGTTGAAGAACCTGTCTTTACTCATGGTACATTAAAGGTCTGCCCATGAAAACTGGCATATGTTCATTGTTCCATACAACGTTTCAGATACAATTACCTCTTGGTTAAAAACTATGGTCTGGTAATCTCTGTCTAGGAATCCTTCATTTTAGGCAGTGGGATGAGATGCGTCTGATCACAGCAGTTCATTATGTGGGAGTGTTCCCCAAGGGCTGTGGCTCAGCACTTCACTTCTACAGGTTTCAAACCTGGATGAAGGGCACATATTCTGACCCAATGATCCTCTCGCTGTGAATCCCAGCTGTGTGTGGCTAGCTGTGGTTACTGGTGGCTGCAGGTAAGAACTTTTCAAATGCAAAAAAGAAAAGAAAAAAGCCCTCTGCTTTATTACTCATAAAACAATGTTTATGCTTCACCACCACATGATCCAGCCAACATTATCCTGCGATATCATTAACATTTTACCTGCATCATTTATGCATGACAAGTTTAATTTTTTACTCCAGCAAAGCTAGTTCACTGAGCCATGCAGGCAACTTAAAACAAAACCTGAGAATAAAAGGCCTATTAAGCCGCCTTATATTCACTAGGAATATTCAATGAACACCAGTAAAATACTAGCAGCATCTCATCCACTACCTTCCTGTGAGAATGATTTTGCAGGTAATTTTTTAATAGGAAAATGGCAGGTCTGAACACTAGGATGCATTAAAAAATAATAATGACAGAACACTCATAGCTCCACAATGATAAAAGATTTTCCACAAGAGGCTTCAATGTGCTTGGAATTGTTGACACACATAACTGCCTCAAAACATGTCTTTTCCTTAAACTGGCCATCGATAAATAGCTTTTCTAGTAAACGGCTTTTAAATATTTCAGGCAGCACATCTCAACAGATGGCACATTTAAGAGAACATTGAAAGGCTATAAATTTTATACTGGTTGATAACTTGGTACAAAAAGTACTATTTAAAGGGGCCATTTCTATATGAAGAGCCGGAACAGAATATTGAAGGAAATGGTCTGGTCCCCGTCCCCCCCGTCCCCTTTCTGGCAGTAATTAGTTTATTTCTATGTGCTGGGTTCAGTTACTTCTGCTCTTTGTGGCTGAACAGAGCCTCTAACTTAAAAGCTAAGGATGATTTAATAGTCATTAACTGTCCATTATTAGAAACATTGGAAATTAAGGATGCTGGCAGTTCAGTGATATTTCAGAGTCTGTGCTCCTAATTACCACTGCTGTCATGTGCTACACAGCTTCTGGAAGGTGCAAAAAGAACACTCATTTGATTCTTAGCGCAGCAAGTGTAAGAAGATACCAAAAAAACCAAAAAAAACAAACCTGCACTAATTAGACTGTGAAACAAGTAACCTAGATACTGTTTGGTGAGAGAAAGAATCTTCCATGTTTGCATCAAACACAGAAAACTATGAAGTTTCTATCTTTTAAAGCAATGTGCATCCTGCTATTTTTGAAACACCTTTATATAGGCACACTTTTTTTGAGGTAGAGACTAGCAATCCTAGGTATAACTAATCCTGTCTTAAGATGCTACTTCAATGAGGTGCATTCATATGACACCATTAAAGGTTGTCCATATCTATTTTTCTACTCGTGTACACTTTGATATCCTGTTTCTTTTCTCCTAAAATCCTAAATTCTTTTCACTCAAAATCCCAATAAGCAGAAGAGATGCACACTTGTAGGAACAGCAATAATCTGTCCAATTCAGAAAGATGGAGCTAACTGGCAATGAAATGCAAAAAAATAATAATAGACTGTGACAACTGAATATAGAGTAGGGGATAACCACACTTCAGGGTTGCCGGAGCTACTTTTTTTCTAAAACCCCATGATCTACTAGTCAGAGCCAGGTGCAAAAAACACAAGAGTTCCTGTCTGAAGACATTTTGAGCCCAGGAATTTGTTTTAGGTACCAGAAATGAACTGAGCTCGCAGTCCTTTCCCATAAAAGTCTACTCCTTGTTAGCTTTCTCCATGTCCCTTGTTGATCTACTGCCTATCGCCCCAAGATCTATTAGCAGATCCTAATCTACTTTCTGCCCACCCCTCAATTACAGCCTTTTAAATCTGTTCTTTTGCATTTCACTGTTACGTTAATTCTCCCTTTCACATACACAAAAATGCAGAATTGGACATTTTACGTGAAAAAAGTGAACTAGAGAATTCAAGGAAGGAGCTACATATTAACAGTAAGCAAGAAGCAGTTACCAGAAACATTTAGGGCATCCTTTCTCAAGCTGTGGGTCCCCAGATGTTGTTGAACTACAACTCCCATCACCCCTAGCTAGCAAGGCCAGAGCTCAGGGATGATGGGAGTTGTAGTCCAGCAACATCTGGGGACCCACAGGTTGAGAACCACTGATTTAGGGCATTAAAGAAAATGCATAAACCCATTAACACCCAGTACTGAGTACTCATGTCCTGGTATCAAGATGGTGCAGGTCCCTCACCACACACATAAAGAGGGTGTGGAAGAGGAGTTGCACAACTTCTTGATGCCACGACACAGGAACTTTGTCCTAGACAACACTGCAGGGGGAAGAACTAAAAACACTGGCTGTGTTCAACAGCAGCTGCGTGTGTCTTGGATGATGTGGGGCAGCATGGGAAAATGCCCCGGGCCGAGCGTATTAGGGCAATTGTTCTAGGGACATTACTGGTCACACTACTGTCTTCTTAACTAAATAGACATAATACATCACATGAAAAAAAGAAACAAACCCCGGCGTGGGAGGTGAGAATTAAATGTGTGAGCACCAGCCATCTGTTTAGTATAACACATAGTTCCAGCACTGACCATTCTCCTTTTGAAAAGCAAATTTTAAAACTTGAGTCTTGAAATGACATGGGCACAGCATGGTTGAAAACTCGGGAACAGTGCTGCGTTTGTGTGAAGAATCGGCACAACTTCTAAGAGATCTGCGGGTGGGGTTTCCTTGCCAAGCATAGTTTTGCTCCCTTCCCATGACTGACAAAGGTGCAATAAATGACCCCAAATAATGACAATTTAATGGAGGGCAGGCCTGCAAATGCTATTTATTTGTGATAAATAAACGGAACCTCTGTGATCAGATTTCGTGTTGAGTACTGCCTGCCAGGGGCCAAACAGAAGGTATTCAAAGCTGTCCACTCCTGGGCTTCCAGAGGCTTTTGCAGAAAGTCGACTAGATGGAGCTTCATCTATTCTAGCAAGGTTTTTACAAGCCAACTTTGCTTGATTTGCAAAATGCATATGGGCCTGTAGAATTTAACTTTGCTTAGTGCATAATTTTATTAAATTATTTATTTATTTTTTAAGAATACAAATAACACTGGTCTTATTCCATTAACCACAAACTGGCCTGCTAAACCCAAACATCAATACCTTTGTCAGCAGGCAGCAACACAACGGATCATACAACATCTTATTAACTGAAAAACACTGAACATAGCATGACAAAAATCCACCAATGATATACTATATACATAAACCTTCATATATTTACAGCTACATACAGAAATTTAGGTTGGCTGCAAGGTGAGAAAGTTCTGCATCCCATAGGTGGTTGGTAGAGGATTCTTAAGAAACGGAGGAGATTGGGTTATGAGGAGAACCCATTTGTGTCAGCACCTTATCTAGCCATTGCAATGGTCCATGCAGGTGGATCTCGATCCAGCACGGAGTACTCGTGACGTCCTGCCGATGATACTCCGCTCCCCAGCCCTACAAAACAGAGGAACAAATACCAAAGGATTTGAAAAAACACACCAAACACTCACATTGTATTTGCCATCTTATTCTTCTTTCCGTCAAGGCAGATCAAATTGTAGCAATAGAAGGCTGTGATGGCCAATGGCTGAACAACAAAGTATAAAATTAATCACAGCAAGATAAATTCGTTCATTCAAGGAAACTGATCACAGACAAATCTGCAGTAAAGCAAAAATCTCCACTGCATTGTCTCAATTTTGAAAAGATTTTACACTCTCTTAGGTCATTATCTAGGATGCTAAAGATCTGTAGCTCAAATGCACTTGCTTTGAGGACAGCTTCTGAACTTAAAGGTAAAAGGTAAAGGTACCCCTGCCCGTACGGGCCAGTCTTGACAGACTCTAGGGTTGTGCGCCCATCTCACTCAAGAGGCCGGGGGCCAGCGCTGTCCGGAGACACTTCCGGGTCACGTGGCCAGCGTGACAAAGCTGCATCTGGCGAGCCAGCGCAGCACACGGAACGCCGTTTACCTTCCCGCTAGTAAGCGGTCCCTATTTATCTACTTGCACCCGGGGGTGCTTTCGAACTGCTAGGTTGGCAGGCGCTGGGACCGAGCAACGGGAGCGCACCCCACCGCGGGGATTCGAACCGCCGACCTTTCGATCGGCAAGCCCTAGGCGCTGAGGCTTTTACCCACAGCGCCACCCGCTTCTGAACTTACAGAGGTCCAATTCACACCTGAATGACTCACAAATGAACATATGAACTGCATTCACTGAGCAGCACTGTGCTTGGAGACGATAATATTGTGAGTTGCTGTTTCCCACAGACAAACCATCACTCAGTGACAAATCATCACCCATCACAAAAGCAGAAATTTTCTTTCATAAGGCATATATTATCAGATGAAGAGAGATAAGATTTGTGACCCACTTAAGTGAATATTTTCTCTTACCTCGTTTTGGTGTAAGGCGCAAACCTTGAACATATTTATAGTTTTAAATGTGTACATTAATGCCAGGTAATCACTCCTATGTAAATCACCCAAAACCTTTGTTTTAAGGCTCTTCTATTTGTTACTAAGTTGCAACATGTCAATCACAAGCTGTAATAGGATACAGAGGTGGCAGAAGGAAGAAATCAGACTTTGCAGAGAGAGAGAGAGGCCATCTGTTATGCTGCATAATGCTCACGTCTGACTTTATATGAATGAAACGGTGTCTGACACAGCATGGCGCCTATCAGATTCTTGGTTCATTAAGTGGTTCTTTAACCCCCTCTGCTGGTAGTTTAAAAACACTGACAAGTATATTAAAGGTGACTAAGCTCAAACATAAAAAAAAACCTAAGATCATGGCCACTGGTCCCATCACCTCCTGGCAAAGAGAAGGGGAAGAAATGGAGGCAGCAAGAGATTTTACTTTCTTGCGTTCCATGATCACTTCAGATGGTGACAGCAGTCATGAAATTAAAAGACGCCTGCTTTTTGGGAGAAAAGCAATGACAAACCTAGACAGCATCTTAAAAAGCAGAGACATCACCTTGCCGACAAAGGTCTGTATTGTTAAACCTATTGCTTTCCCAGTAGTGATGTATGGAAGTGAGAGCTGGACCATAAAGAAGGCTGATCGCCAAAGAATTGATGCTTTTGAATTATGGTGCTGGAGGAGACTCTTGAGAGTCCCATGGACTGCAAGAAGATCAAACTTATCCATTCTGAAGGAAATCAGCCTTGAGTGCTCACTGGAAGGACAGATCTGAAGCTGAGGCTCCAATACTTTGGCCACCTCATGAGAAGAGAAGACTCTCTGGAAAAGACCCTGATGTTGGGAAAGATGGAGGGCACAAGGAGAAGGGGATGACAGAGGACAAGATGGTTGGACAGTGTTCTCGAAGCTACGAACATGAGTCTGACCCAGCTACAGGAAGGAGGCAGACCAAGATAGGAGTACCTGGCGTGCTCTGGTCCATGGAGTCACGAAGAGTCGGACATGACTAAACAACTAAACAACAACAACAAAAATGCCCAAGTCACAAAACGCACTGGTTTTGCTTCACTGGGCCCCATGGGCTACCCTTTATATACAAACCTGGTGTGCCACCAGCTTATATGATTAAGATACTAGAAGCCTTTCAAAGGATTCTAGGTAAATATCAGGAGTATCTGATTAGTGCAGGCTGTTCACCCAAATAAACAGATTGAATAACTAGATGTCCTTGTGTATAATTAGACCAGAAGATTGCCACAGAAGAGTGTGCACCTGTGCAGATGTGACTATTACGTGGGTGAACAAAAGCCACCCACATTTCCTTGCCTGCCTTCCAATAACTATGGCCAGGAATAGGAGGGGCCACCTTGACAAATTACAGAGGCATGTGGCAATTTCCCCAGTCGCTTTGACTTGAATCCTACGTGATGGTTGGGTAGAAAGGAACCAACGTGCAGCGCCTCACGCAAGCAACACCTGCTCCCCCATGTCTGTGAATTGCAGAACTTGCTTTGCTGGCTGCTGTTCGGAAAAAGCTCCGCTGACAATTAATCGTGCCACATTGGCAGCTCACACCCGTAAGGTTGGGGGTAGAGAAGACAGGAAGGAGTCCTTACTTTGACGAAGCTCATTCGGATGGTGCACATCTTGGTCAGCTCATACACCACCTCAAAGCCGTGGTTCACGGACTGGGCCAGCAACTGGGCAAAGAGCTGGTTGTTGAAAATCTTCAGGCTGCAGCCGCTGGGGATCTTGCAGACGGTGGCAGGGTGGAAGCCGTGCTGGTAGTTGCAGTTGCGGCTCTGTACAAAGATGCTGCTGTCGCTCACGCACTCTGCGTACACCTCTCCCCCCACGTAATACAGGTGGACACCTGAAAAGGGGGGTGGGGGAGAGAGGAGAAAACAGAAAGGTTTCAACATAGATAAAAGCAAATTTATTTATTAATTCACTGCCATTTATGTACCGCCTTTCTGCCAAGGCACCTAAGGCAGTTTACAATTTTGTAAGTACTGAGACAGAAGATGGACAATATTATTATTATTATTATTTTCGTATCCCCCACCCATCTGACTGGGTACATGTAAAATTGGGGGTGGGGGGGCATAGTCTGCCTGCAGCAGATCCCTTCATCAATTAAATTTACCAGTTCATAATAGTACAGTGGTACCTCAGGTTACATACGCTTCAGGTTACAGACTCTGCTAACCCAGAAATAGTGCTTCAGGTTAAGAACTTTGCTTCAGGATGAGAACAGAAATCGTGCTCCGGCGGCACAGAAGCAGCAGGAGGCCCCACTAGCTAAAGTGGTGCTTCAGGTTAAGAACAGTTTCAGGTTAAGAACAGACCTCCGGAACAAATTAAGTACTTAACCCGAGGTACCACTGTATACTATTTGCTTAACAGTGCATTATGTGATATACAGTACAAAAAAGACACTTTTCTTTGAGAGAGAGACATTATAGTCTTAAAATATAGACCACTCTAAAAATCTGTGCTTGGAGAAGGAGTTTGGCAGACATTCCTCACCTAAGTTTTGAAGGAGCCTACTTGCTGCAGGCTTCTCTCACTTCTCACTCTTTGGAAAGCAAACAAAGTGCTCCTGAGTGGCCTGCTCATCATACCTCCTTGTGTAGAACCCGTATCCAAGTGCACAACCCAACCTTTGGGTGCCTTGGAACGCAACCCCAGCGTAAATGGGGAGCTGCCTGCGGTCCTAAACATTATTTGCTACCACTGCAATAAGGGGCTTGCTCTCACCCTTTCCTATGTGCCTCCTGGTGTTTTCTATAGTGGAATTCCTGTTCACGTTAGACAGCAGCCCAAGGCAGAACCTGTTCTTATTGTTTGACGGATCTGTAAAGCCATCTATCAGTATGCTTCGCGAAGAGGCCTGGAAAGTCTCTCCGACTCGGTTGTTGAGTTCATAGTACGCTACCGAACACCAGTGCTGTGGCTCCTCATAGCAAACGGGCCGGAAGTCTGGAAGGAAAGTCAAGAATGAAGAAAAGAGGCAGGGCCATCTCTTCCCTCACAACAATATGTCTAGTTACATATGCTGTCAGGAGTTGCCTCCATGGCAAGTTCCTTTTCTTCCTAATCTTCCAGCTACATCATTCCAAAATACTGTTAAGTGTATATTCAGACAGCTGGAAGGTACTGGTTCTGGCTGCAGTAAATGACAAAAGGGATACTGATCAAGGGGGTGGAGCAACTGACCTATGAGGAAAGTTTTTGATAGTGTTTGGGCACCATGAGGTGAGCTTTTATGCCCCCACCATGTCATCTGATTCTACCCTGATTAACATGGTATGATGTGCATTCAGCAAATTTGTCCAGAAGTGGATCTGATCCTTCTGTGCTCATAAAATGCAATATTTTGCTTTTATTTTCTGATTGGTGACAGCCCCACCATTAAGTACGGTGCACTTCTGACACTGCTAAAGAGTGCCTGACAATTCATCAAATCCACCAGCCTCAAGTTGAAGGCTGCAAGTCACTATCACTCCTACCACATGGCAAAATCAAGGAGTAACTCATGTCCTGAAGCAGGTGGAATAATTCTGTTCTGATTTGAATTATAGCAACTCAGGAAAGGGGTCTAAGGGATCAAAAAGTACCCTCAAAATATCCACTTGCTGAGCTGTGGAATGGAAAGGGCAAACATGACTTGAGCAGCCTTTGGAAAAGGAACAGAGGCTAGAACAGAAAGCTTTAGAGTGGCTTTGTACATTACAAGGTAAGATTTATGGCAGACGTAAGCAGGCACCAGCGCATTTGCTTTCCGCTACACATTGTAAGTGTGATGTTCCAAGGAGAACTGGACCATTAGCACGTCCTCTTTTCAGATGTGATAATATGGTGATAAATGAAAAAGCGAGGTGTACTTTGGCACCTCCTGTCTCCTATGTGTTGAGGAAGGATGACTGCAACCTTACTCACCACTGCAACTCGAGACAGTAACAAGTGCCTTCGAACTTCAAAATATCAAATATTGTAAGCAGTTCCGATAGTCTTATCTCAAAAACAATGTTAGAGATGGTAAGTTCAGAAAAGGACAAATGCATTAATTAACCTTCACTTTATCAAAAAATAAAAAGTGGATTTAGCTTACAAAACCACAGCTGTAATCAGGAACATGGAAAGCAAAGTGTTTTAGCTTACAAGGCAGGAGGTGGCACACACATTGATTTGGAAAGCAGCGGGTAGTGGAGTTATTCTTTGCTCTCTCAAAATGTAAGCTCACAGCTTTTGCAATAAAACTGATAGGCAGTAGGTTTAAGTCAAAGAAAAGTTATGTGGGAGATATCCTGGAAAATTCACTGCCAAAGGATGCTGCACGGCTTCACTTCCTTACCTGCTGAAGTGGGATTTCGGATTATGTTTGCCTCATGCTGCTGCATGGCAAACAGATTTGGAAAATATGGGGTGTCTCAACAGCAGCATGCCTATAAGGGCTCTTTGGATAGGCCAACAGGCCTATCAGCTACTAACCAATGGAATAGTGGTCTAATCTGCCTTTGTCTGTGGAGATTTTTTTTTTTAAAAAATGCTTTAAAGGAGTGCCTCATGCAGCCCTGGAGTTGGTGGGATCACTGGTTGTCACATACATAGAAAGCACGACCTGAATGTGGACTAGAATGTTTCTGCTTCCTTGGGCTTTCATTTATCAGACTAATGGCTGTTTTCTCAGCTCAGAGGTAGCCTTCAAACAACTAGCTAGTTTACCAATATTCCAGCCACATCAATTAGAACCGTTCCAATAATACTGTATTCTGGTGGTTCAGCACTGGAAGCAATTTCATTAAGCATCACTTTTAATCCCGGTTAAGGATTTGATTTCCCCCCCCCCCTGCTGTCAGAGGCCTATAAATCAGGCATAGCTCAAGTCATTTCCCCCTAGAAAACGATGCAAGTATTTACATACTTTCAGGTTCTCCATCGGCAGATTTACCTCCATTGGGCAATGACAGGACTAACTGATTCTCTGCGGTTGCATGTATAGAGCGTCCATGGTGGTTTCCTGGCGTTTCTCTCATGTTGTAAGGCGGAGGTGGCGTTTCGACTAAAATGGGGGGGATAGAAAAGGAGAAAGCTACTGGGCCTGCCATTTCATTAACTGACTAGTTTACATTCACTGGAGAAGGACCAAAACCTTCTGACTTAAACTGAATCAGTGTCTCATCCAAATTAAGATGGATTTTCAAGGTTTTTTGTTTCAGATGAAGGATCAGACACAGGGCCCAAGATTCCCTTGTAAACATTTCGACAGTGCACATCACATGAAATGATGAAAGCAATACAACAGCCAACACCAAAATTGTACGGACTGTATGCTTTCATATGAACCAAATACCACACAAAAGTTGATATTCCATGTCCCCAAAAAGGTAAAAAGTAAAGGACCCCTGGACAGTTAAGTCCAGTCAAAGGAGACTATGGGGTTGCAGTGCTCATCTACTTTCCAGGCCGAGGGAGCCGGTGTTTATCCACAGGCAGCTTTCTGGGTCATGTGGCCAGCATGACTAAACCACTTCTGGCGCAACGGAAACCAGAGCGCACGGAAACGCCGTTTATCTTCCCGCCGCAGCGGTACCTATTTATCTACTTGCACTGGTGTGCTTTCGAACTGCTAGGTTCGCAGGAGCTGGGACAGAGCAATGGGAGTTCACCCCGGCGCGGGGATTTGAACCACCAACCTTCAGATCGGCAAGCCCAAGAGGTTCAGTGGTTTAGACCCTAGCGCCACCCGCATCCCTCTTGTCCCCCAAAGAGAAGTCACTGTAGACCCATTCATCAGCACTGGAAACGTGTTCAGGGAGACTGCCGCTTATTTATTTTTTACCTGTAAGTTGATAAGGACTTCCTGGTGTAGAGGAACTTCCGGGGGAGTCAGGGTAGCTCATGCTGCTAGGGGACTGAGAGAACATGTGGGGGGATGCCGGGAGAGGGGGGCATGGAGGATGCTGGAAAGAATCAGGGTAGGTCGCGTTATGAGGCATCAGTGGCTCACTGTGAAGAGACGCATTCCGGAATTTGGCAAGGAGGCTGAGGTGAGGGTTGAACTCACTATGTCTTGGAACCAGAACTGGAGGCAACACTAGAACAAGAGGGAAAACATGTCCGGCATTAAAAGCAGTTAGGGGCACAGTTTGAACTGGTGCCAGGCAGTTTCCCTGTTTGCTTCTCTTGCCCAATTACTCTGGAAGCAGTTCTCCAGAACCTCCTGAACCTTTCACTTAAGAGACGATTGAATCTGAGATCTCCTGCAGCAAAGCACGCACCACACCACTGAACTGTGACCTCTCCCTAGTTACATGAGATGCCACTCCTAAGATCTGGCATGTCAGTCACGTTACCAAACTTTCATGCAAGAACGTATGCAATTCCTGGAAGGGGGGGAAACATGCAAATTCAAATTAAATAACCTGTGAGTGCATATTAGGAATTTCACAAGTAGAGACCTGTGAAAATTCCTTGTCCTTAAGGCTGCAAAGGTCTGAAAACTGGTGGGCAAAAGACACTGAAATCTCAGAAACCACAGGTGGTGGGGGAAGAAAGAAGGAAGGAAGAAAGGAAGGAAGGAAGGAAGGAAGGAAGGAAGGAAGGAAGGAAGGAAGGAAAGAAAGAAAGAAAGAAAGCAAGCAAGCAAGCAAGCATGACGCAGAATTTTCAGTGGTGCAAGTAGCAAGGCTTCAATGCAGTATCTGAATCACCTTGGCATACATATTTTAAAGACAAAATTTATAGGGTACAAAATCTCAAATAACAAAACACATTTAGTCTAAGTATCCAATTAATATAATTATTCAGAAAATGTAAATTACTGTTTCCTAAGTTCTACGAACTGATAAAATTTAAATCATGAATGCAATTAATATTCTAAACTTCAGGTCAACAAATAGAGAAAATGTGCAAAAACATGCTACGTATAAAATGGGAAATGAGGCTGGCTGGGAAATAACTGGCTTCCACACTAGCAAAACAACCACCACAAGAGAAAACTCTACTGGATCTATCCCATCAGAAACAAAGACGACTGTATGACAATAATAATATAAGGGTGGTGATTAGGGAAATCACACATATATTTGGAGAATTTTACCATTATACATGAAAAAGCCACCTTCCCACCACTGCAAATGGAGGGGGTCCTTAAAATAAAAACCCACCCATTCCACATTTACCAAAAGTTGACAGAAATTTGAAAGGTCAAGTATTACAGAAGCCAGAGAAACTATTATATCTTTATAGGGCAATAAATCTCAAGGGCCAGATGGAATCACCCCCAGAATATGATAATGCTTTCTTTCCGACATATTGTTAACTCCATTAACAGATGTAATAAAAAATACATGAGAACAGAAGATTTGTTGACTCATGGGTCTAGAGAAACGCTGGCAGGAGATCTATGACTGATCTCTCCCAACATTTCCCCCCACCCAATCAAACACACCCACGGGGAAGAGGGAGTGCTAATTTGACTAAGAAAGGGGTATGGGACTTGGAAGAAGTGTTTTCAGGTCTCCCTCCCTGAATTATTTTCCCCAATCTAATTCACAACCTGCCCCTGAAGTTGCAATTGGCCAGGAAGGAGAACAATACTAGGCAAGCCAGGAAAGGATCCAAGGAATGAATCATCATATCAACCAATATCATTATTAAATTTATGATTACCAGGTGATGGCAACAGTATTAGCAAGGAGGTTTAAAATAATTATAGGACACAATATTCATTTCCCCCCCTGCTCTTCAGCAACACCCAGGTTGCTAGACTAAACAGCAACACCCAACTTACATATATCACTGGTAAGGCAATCCCTGCCCTCAGGATTACAATCTAAAATACCCAACATGAAAGGGAATGGGGGTGGGAGGAAAGAGGAACATTGTAGTGTCCTTCCGTGGGGGAATGTGGCAGTCACATGGCTCCTTGGCATGATGCTATGCTATGATGAAATGTCATTTTGGGGCATTTAGTGGGGATGGTTTTTTGGGAGGGGGCAATGGACACCCAGAAGAGCTCTGTTGCTGCTGTCACAGATTGCAGCAAAAGAGACATTTTTAAAAATTATTTATTTAAAAGAGAGAAATCACAACCACTTGCGTAAGGTTTAAATCTCCCAGGTTTAAATCTCCAGTTAAGAACTGCTAAGTGTCCCCTGTCTCAGACCCTGGTGTGCCTCTGCCAATCAGGGTAGGCAATACTCAGCCAAATGGACCAATGGTCTGACTCAGTTAAGGGCTTCCTGTGCACACACCCCACTTGAATCTTATTGAATAATCTTAAGCTCAAGATACATAAATGCAAGAAAGAAAGGGGGTTTTCGTGGCTATATCTGTACTACACTGCAAGTGAGCCAATGGAAGAGATTGGCTGAAGGACAAAAACACATATTCTTGCCATAAGAACAGAAGCAATTATTGTTATTTTGGCGGAAAGTCCATTGGAGCAATGCCACAGTCAAACGGAAGTAAACAATATAATTTACTCAAGAGTGGACAATTTTATTGCCGAGTTAAACAGATGTCAAACAGATAAATAACTATACAACTTTCCAAACACAACTGAAGGCAGGACTGTACTGGGATGCCTTTTAATGTTTGATGTTAAAACATTAACATCCTAGGTGGGTCAGAATCATGCAGTGAAGCAAACACCTCCATTTCCCTCCCCACTATCCTGTGCAACCTATAGGACATATGAGATCACACAAAATTAGGGGTTTTTTATCATGTTTTTAAAAAGATGTTAGTTGAAGATATCAATTTTAAAAAATATTTCCAGACAGGAACTTAGGTTAAATTCCAAAAAACAGATACATGAGGTGCATAAATAACTTTGGTAGAGACTAATCAGGAACTGCAAGCAATCAGGAAAGCAGGTTGAGCATTTTAGAGGCCAATTCCCAAGACTGTAGCTGAAGATCCATATACAAATACACATCGTTCATTGATTCGTAATACTCAAACGCACATCATTTCCAGATTTGGGCATAGCCTCTGCCCATAGTCTCAGAGACCAGGTACAATCCATGCTTTCTCTCTTATGCTCCTCCAGTGCTCTCTCAGAAGAAAGGGCAAGAACTAGCAAAACAAGGAAGACCAAAAGCATAGGCTGTTGACTGCTTGGCAGAGGAGCCTAAGCGTTCAGGTTAGGCTGATCCCTGAACCAGTCTTGTGTACTGGCTTCAGAAGGTGAGGCCGGCCAACGCGGTAAAGCCCAATTATCCTAGCAATGTGAGAGAAGGTGAGCTCACTTGGGACCTAATCCTCTCCAAATCATCAACAGGATTTTCCAATCCTTTCATAGTGCAGGTGTGACAATATTGCAGGACAAAAAACAACCACCACCTTAGGCTCTGTTAATGAAATGTCTCTTGTTTGTTTTCCTGTGCTTCCTCCTACAACATCTTGTCCTGAATTCCCATGAGCATTCACAGTACCAGCGAGGCAAAAAGCAGCTGGGAGGACATAGATTGGGTAAATGGTGTCAGAGTACCCCAGCAAAGGGTTAACGAGTCCATGCCCTAGGGGTGCTTTTCAATGGATATCTACGTATTGGGTGACTGATGAATTATTCCTTGCATAGTATCTAGTATGGCTTTAAGAAAGAAGCTTTTTAAAAAAAACCACCTTCTGAAGTTTCAGCACCCTGGACAAGTACAAATATGAGCAAGAACCACAACGAGAGAGAAACCTTTGGAGAAGGAAATGCAATTAACGGCACCTACATTCCAGGAATATACTACCACAATGGCTTTTTTTCCACACCTGATTTGTGACTTTAGGGCAGCACTTGAAGGAGGAGACAAGAGTTTGCAAAACCACAGCAGCAAAGTGAGTTGAGTTCCACTGTGCCAAGCTGCACTTGAGGCAAAGCAATCATTTGTCTGCTTCATTCAGTGCAGAACAGAAGCACAATCCAAATTCGCCATGGCACATCTGACCAATTTAGGGTAGCTCTGTAACTACACAGAACATTATAGGCTGAGTTGCAAATTATTTCATTACATGACCACAGCACTGTTCTAACAGTGCAAGTTTAACCTGGTGTGTGATTTACACTGAGAGAGCGGAGGAGAATGGTTGAATCTTACCTCCCCAGTGGAATGTTCCCAATCCAATCCCCAATTCTTGACATTTTTTTTTAATGCAACGTATGGCAGATATGATCACAGATCTCCAGCATCTCGTCTAGTCTCCCCTTTATTTTGAAAAATGTGTCATGTATTTCTCTTCTCCTATTATTACATTTTTACAGGATGTTTTAGAATTGGCATGAATTTGTTCAATTTCAATTGTTTTATGATTCTGTATATTTGCAAGGTTGCAAGAGACTGTTGTTAGCTGCCCTGGGCTCCAATCAGGAGGAAGGGCAGGGTATTTAAAACAAAGAAACAAATCACTGAATAAAAACAAAATTTTGCCTTCTCATCAGTGACTCTGAACTTGGCTCACACACTTAAAAAGAATAAATCCCATAAATAAAAACAAACGCTGTATCACAACAAATCACAGCGGCCAAAAAATTCATACTGACACAGCTTGTTTCACCTGATGGCTTTTAAAAAACCATGATGTTTGATTGCTACCACTGTCACAAAGTAGCCTTTAAGATTACCTCCAACCCATGTTTAGTCAGATTCATCACAAGATTTAACAAGGCTGTTTCTATCCTGAAGCAGCAGAACTTGGTTCCTGGTTAAAAACAGCAACGTAGATTTCTCACATAGAAAACTGATTCAGTTTTATTTCTTCATCAAGAAGTCTATATTTTCCTCCTATTCTTATGATTTCATAATGAAATTTCTTACAAAATATGAAACCCAATGCAGTGGTAGCCTTTGCATCAAAATTTATTTTTAGATTGGAGAGGGTGCAATGCTCTGGGATCTACTATCCAAAATGTTTTCTCTGAAATCTCTCTGATAATCATAATTTGATCTTGGATCCCAAATTAGCACTTTTGTCACCTGAGAGCAACTTTAACCCTACGTTTCCATCTCCAATCCTAATCTTTTTTCTCTTAGCTGCTGCCATGATGGCGATAGCTGCCAAATGGGAAACAGGGGGAAATGTTACTTTGCCTTTGCAGTATGCACGTGTACAGTGTATGGGGAAAAGCAATTTCGGAATGCTTGACCCAACGCAGGAGAGTTGTTAATGGACAGGCGAAGAGAGACAAATTTTTAGGCAAGCGGTCTTTGTTCACTGGTCACATCCATAAGTCAGCCCAGTTGTTACAACACATGTATCTCTCTGGAGATTAATCAATAAACTTTATCATGTATGTACCTTACTCTTACTTTTTGTAACAGACAACCCAATAATAGGCACTCCATGTGTTGTTTTTGTTTTTATGTTTATGGTATTACTGTTGAAACCCAATAAAACATACGTACTTTTTAAAATTTATTGAGATGATTTGCTTACCTGGGGTCTCCACACGTCGATAATGGTAAGGATTAATGCACACTTCTTTCTGCTTTGAGCCAAACGGGAACTCGCAACATTCCAGCGCTTTCAGTTCATGGTGAGACTGCAGGTCAGGCCAGCGCCACACTCTGCAGTAGATGACATGGGGCAGCCCTTTGCGATGAGACACTTGCAGCCGCCCATCCAAAGACCGCGGGATTGTCACACACTTGCTGGGCTGCCCGGGGCAGCTGAGTGCCCTCTCCAGTTCCTCCATGGCTCCCTTCTTCTTCTTTAGCTTCTTCACCAAGGAGTCAACAGCCTTTTCCGCCCACTTCTCCTCTTCATCTCCTTGCTTCCAGCCCAGCAGTCTCTTCACAGCCGGGCTGGTGAAGGAGAACAAAGAACTGATCGAGGTGCTGGAGTGCATATGAATCGGAGATAATACGTATGATTGCAAAGCGAGACCCCAGATATGTAGCTCTTCCTTTTTTTCAAAAAAATGAGGCCCAAATTTCGGCACTGGGAGGAAAGCTGCTTTCAAAATCAGGCTTGTCCACACATATCCCAGGTGTTGTCAGAGATATTTCATTGCAAGTGTCTTCCAATATCGGACAATTCTGCAATAAAAGAACAGTGTTCTGTCAGACATATTACAGATCCTTTTTCATCTCTCTTTTTAGAAACTCACCTTGAAACAGAACCAATTTTGTCTGTTTGTTTTTCTGCTTTTTGTTCCCTAGAGTAAAATAAATAAAGACAGCATCTTTCTATATATCACAACCAGACTCTTCAGCAATAGCAAAATTCAACAGGCACAGGATTGCAGCCACTTTAAAATAAACTTTACTCACTATGTAAATTACTATAAACTGGGTATAGTTAATGTCTTTTCTTGTAAAAACAAAAGCAGGGAGAGCCAAGAAAGGATCTTGAAACACTATAGTTCTGCCTGTGAAGTTGCTAACCTAGTAGTACCACATCTTTAGATATCTAAAAGCCCACTGGATTGAATCCAACAAATCCATTTCATTTGCACAAGGACTTCCACTTCTGCAATGGAACTTCTCCCTCTCCTCCCCAGATCTACTCCTGAGTATTATGATGCAATACATGCAACAGAGAATAAAGGTGTAAAAAAATGGCACTGTTTTTATTATGGTGGAATGAGAATTCCAAGGTTATATTAGTGTTAATCTGGGTCCTGCTGGACCTCACCCAGCAGTTATAATATTGTTATGGGTTGGCAGGGGGCAAGGATCCCCTAAAATTCCTGGGTGCCAGGTTCTCCCCATAATTTCTGAATTTAGTGAATGTGTTGGTTTGACCAATGGATCTAGCAAGGCCTAACAGATAAGTCAAGCCAGCTTCCTCAAGAGATTGGCTGAGAGGTGCCATCAAGGAAGAAAAACACGTGATCATAGTCATTGCCCTGACAAAAGGTGGGGCATTCGGTCTCAGACAAGAAGGGGGGTTGAGTCCCTCCCCCAACTGTGTGATAACTAGCACAGATTTCTGATGACTTGTCGACACAACAGTTAAAAAAGAGCTAGAGGGAATCTATACTATTTCTCTTAGGAACTGCTAAAGCTGAAGGAGCACTTCATTCTTAAAATTTCACTTTGTGTTCTTGGCGCTGTTCTTATTTCAATGCCATTCTTAATAGCTGGCCTTTGGAGGAAGATCCCATGGAGGCACTAGTACTTTTATCAGCCTTGCCAATTTACAATGGGCAAGAAGATGCCTGCGGGCTGGGAGAAAAAAGACTCTGATGATGACATGACCACTTGATCAAGAAGAAGAATAAAAATTCTGTACTGCTCCGTATGAATAGTAGACGTACACTGGTGACGTGCCCTTGACAGGGAGCATGCAGGCAGACTTAGATAATTTTAGACTCTGGACTAAATGGCATTATTGTGGCCTCCCTCTTTAGATGGTAATTCAAAATGGGGTAGGGCAGCCTTGACGCATTTAGGGGGCCTCCTGCTCATTCTGCTCAGCAGGCCCTGGACTGCAGATCCAAAGTCCTGCCCCAATGGCACCAGTCATCAATATAACAGTTTAATAAGTGGGCCAAAGACATTTCCAAAGACCTAAAGCCCAAAAGCGTTACAAAGGTCAGCTGGCAGTGACTTCAAAGCCCCATGGCCACTATGGAGAAAGCTTCTTCCTCATGCCCACCAGTTTCACTGATCTCACAGGTGGACAAATGAGAAGGTATTCCACTGTTGATTTTAATATGCAGGCAAGAGGGGTACAGGTGCAGTAGGTTCTTTGAGTAACTTGGACCCAAGCTGTTTAAAGGCTTTAAAATGTTACGAGCCACCACTTCAAATCGGTAGAGCATGAGACTCTTAATCTCAGGGTTGTGAGTCTCAGCCCCATGTTGGGCAAAAGATTCCTGCATTGCAGGGGGTTGGACTATAGATGGCCCTTGTGGTCCCTTCCAACTCTATGATTCCATAAAATTGGGAATGAAAGCAGAGTGGGAACCAATGTGGCTGGTACAACAATGGTGTCACAAGATGCAACCACCTAACTGCCCCATCAGGACTTGGTGGGCTGCGTCTCAAACCAGCTGAATCTTTTGAACGGGCTTTAAGATGCATATAACGCATTGCAGCCGTCAAAGCTTGGTGTGACAAGCACACAGATTATTGTGCCGTCTCTGAAAGCAAGACTCCAAATTCCTGGAGCTGCGATCTGTCTGCATTTCTGTGTTTGCCTGTATAAATCTACTCCTCTCACTGTAGGAACACGAACATGTCTTCATTCCACCGAAATATTCCTTCACACACATTTATTTATCTGTTCGAGAAAACGCATATCCTTCCATTCTGCAGTTGAAAAAGATTTAAGAAAAAATTACAGCGCTCAGGGAAGATTATATCGTTTGAAAGCAAAACAATGTTTCATAAAAAACAAATTACGCAGCAGCAAAAGGCCAACTGGAACCAATTAAAAACCAAGTTGAGCTTCAGGCTATTAAAAACCTAACCAAGCAAATTAAAAGCTTGTCTTGATTCCTTTCTTTCAAAACAGTTCTGACCAGGAGGCAGAACATAGGCTATGCCAGCTAGGGGAACATCTGGAGGGCCCAAGGTTCTCCACACCTGCCTTCAGGAGTGGGAAGGATGGTTTGGGAGGAGGCAGTTCTTTGGTGGATATTTAAGTCACACATCTTAACAGTTCAGACAGGACAATTTGGTGATAGAAGTCCACCCGTCAGCCTCACTTCTTTATTTCACTCACACTCCAAAAATGTTGTGATGGAAGAAGGAGGTGCTGTGCTATAAACTGGGCAGAGCTAAAGAGCAAACCAATGGTGCAAAAAGGAGAGTAACAAATCTGTCTGTCTATCTGTATGAACTTGAGGGACTGGGGAGACTTAGGCTGCAATACTAGACACAGGTACCTGGGAGTGTTCTACTCACCTCAGTGAAGCCCAAGTCCAACCAAAACACATGCCTGCCATTTTACTGTTAGAATTCTTATCTGTTTCCTGATTAACTTAATGTAACTTTATAGCCAGGCAATCACCAGATCTTAAAACTAACATTTCGGAGTGTTTGTGGTTCCCCCACCTCTGCTTCCCATTTTAAACAAGGCTTTAAATAAACATTGTTATCTCTTTCGGTCAGATTAAATAAGTTACCTGTGACATCAGCATGACTCCGCAATGCTGTTACTGCTGGTGGGAGATAAGACCAGGACATAGGCATTTATATAAAAATAATTATATTTTAAAAATAGGCAGGCTTGCTGTTTGATGCAAATGAAAGGGAGTGATTTTTACTAATTACCTAAAACAAAAAACCGGCAGTGGTCACTTTTAAAATCCCAGGCCCATCTAAGCATGAACAGAATTAAGAGTCTCTCAGAAATGACAGTAGTGATATCAATAGACATTTTTCAAAGCCATGTCACTGGCAGTGAGAGAGTCAGTGTAGTTTATTGTTGTTTTGATATGAGAATCCCATGTATAAATCTCTTCTTGGCTATGACATTCCCTAGAAAGGTTCAGGAAGTCTCTCAGGGCCTATCTTTACCTCACAGGGTTACTGCAAGGATAAAATGAGATTCCTCATATAAGATCACTGTTGGGATCAAACTGTGATGCTAAATAATAAAAATGGAAACACTTTGTGGTACAACCACAGTCTCGGGAAGATTCTAGCACCAGGTTTTCTAAAGCGCATAATACAAAACGTTGCTCAGCAGCCTAGCCTAAGCATTCCTCTGGATTTGCTTCTCCGTTTTAAAAGGTCTAGCCCTCCTTTCTGCTTGGATGATGCAAAGACATATACTCATCAAGCATAATGCATAATTTCAGGGCTGGAATTACACTGAAGGCCACCAAGGGCAGTCACCAACACTGATCCTCCACACCTGGTGGGGGGGGGGGGCGGACGACTTAGCCAAGTGGCCCTTATCATATTCTAGGATACAGTGTGCCCACAGTGAGTCAGCACGAAGGAGCAAGATACACCATCTGCATAATAGCACCAGTGGGAAATAAATGACAGCAACAAGATATTAGATAGTTCGAGCAGTACTCGATACTGACGTGCTTGCAGAGATTATTTTCTCACACAGATGATGTAAGTCCCTGGAAGAACAAACAGTTTTGCCTTCTGTTCCTTTGAACTTAACAGAGGTGACACGACCCTGCAATCTGCAGGAACAGAGTTCAAGCCTTGGCGCATACGAGTTGTACAATGCAAAACAAATCTTGAGGTCCATAGTTGTGAAGTCATATCCTTGAAAGAAGTGGTTGTCAAACGTTTTTCCTCTGGACTGCCTTGGTGCATTGGGACAACCTTGCACAACTTTCAGGAAGCAGGCCATACAGACTGAGAAAGCTATGTTGGATTCCAGTGCAGTGCATCTGTCCAGTGACATAAATGCTGCACCAAAAAGGCATTGAATAGAATAGTATTGTTACAGGCTCCAGGAGCTATCTAGGGTTCAGTTTCCTTGGAATGAGAGACAGTGGAGACTGTGGTGTCTATATGGTTTATTTACACATATGTACAACCTGAGCCTACGGTAGAGGGGCTCACAGCATTTACACCCCAAAAGTTCTTGCTTCTCTCATACAGTGGTACCTTGAGTTACAAAGGCCTCAGGTTACAAACACTTCAGGTTACAAACTCCACTAACTTGGAAGAGTTACCTCAAGTTGAGAACTTTGCCCCAGGATGAGAATGGAAATCGTGTGCCGGCAGCACAGCGGCAGCAAAAGGCCCCATTAGCGAAAGCACGCCTCTAGTTAAGAACAGTTTCAGGTTAAGAACGAACCTCCGGAACGAATTAAGTTCGTCACTAGAGGTTCCACTGTATTCACAGCCTTGGAATAAAGGAGAAATCAAGCATGGGTCTGTCTCTCTGGTTGCTGCCTGCTTCTTGCCCAACTCACACACACACTCTGGCTTTTGTTTTTCTCACTACCAGTCAGGTGAGGGAGGGGCCCACCTATTTGCTATTTGCCCTCTGGCACAGTCCTACTTATTTTGTCATACAAAGATGGTCCTTAGGACTATTAACTCACACACAGAAGCATGGAATCCTCCATTCGATTTTGAACCATGCTGGATCCAGGACTCACGAATTAGAA